TAAACAAATGCAGTGAGCTGCAGCAAAAATTAATGTTAAAGAGGAAAAATTTTCCTTCTCTCCCCTCCTTCGCTCCATGGCACTTTTAATATATCACTCTGAAGGATTCCCCAGATGTATTTTTTTCGAGAGTTCTTCATAGAAAGGTAGTACATTGGTTTTTTGTTTTTCTAACCTTAAATTGACATCCATAATTTACACAATTGTTAGCTTTTTTATTTGGTTTACAGATCAGTAATGATAGCATAGCAGACATCGATATATATGGATAGTGTATTCCATTTTGTTAGTATTTGCTAACAACATAAATAGAATTGTAGACTAAATTGTAAGTAGAGACTGAGGCAATAGAAAATTAAATTTCTTTTGTTAAGGGTATTTTTATAATCAGAAAAAAAATTCTAGAAAGTTAGCACCTACCCTCACCTAGAAGAATATTTTGGGAAATATTAAAAAGGCAGAATATTATAGTTCCCTAAAGGAGAAATGGAGCAACTTGTTCCTGAAGAAAGAAAGTAGTCTCCAAGTCTTTCTTAATAACCCCAGCAAATATTTTGGTGCCCATTAAGAAAGATTATGCCAGCCTATTCAAAAACCAAACTGAGGAGGCCACCTTTTAAAAATGCAGATTTGGTATCCTTTCAAGGTAGGTTATTTTGAAACAAAGGCAGAATGATAGGATTAGAAGCAGCCATCACTCAAGATCCAGCATAGGACAAAGCCATTAAGTCATAATAGGAATTATTGTATCACTCTCAGAGCAGTACAAATTTAAACCAAACTTAGACAAACACCTAGGATTTGTACTTTGCCTATAGAGCCAGCCTTGACTCCTACAAAAACCCTATATGGCCCCATGGGAGTCTGACAACAGCTAATAGAAGACATGTTCTTACACAGGAGCAGGAAGTTCAAGTGGAAAACCCTGTTCATCTTTAAACCTTTTCCAATCAGCCTCCATGTATCGAGTGTCTTTCTCCCAGCTTGAAACTGAACCAGATGGATATTTCTTCCCATACATCCAAATAATTTAAGTGCTACTTCAGATACATTCTGATACTAATTCTGATACTTTCCTAAATACTATTTTAAAGATAGTTTTAAAATTCATTTGATGCTTTTTGTTCTGTTGATACACTGCTTGATTCTCTAATAATTCATTGCATTTAAGTTTCTTACATATAAAAATTTCTTTTATAAATTACTGTAAATTGTTAATGAGCACTGAATGGAGTTTAAAGATTAATAGACAGCAATAAAATCAATCTGCAGAATCACTCCAAAACTTACTTTAAAATAGATTTGTAGCATCAAATGTCCTTTTATTTGTGAGTCTTGCCTCTTTTTTTAAGGCTGTACTCTCAAAAAAAAATCTTCATTATCTCATGAGGTCCATCTCCCCCATCAGAAAACCATTCAAAATGGATTGCGAATTGATAATCTAATTTGTAAATTATATTAGAAAGCAGTTTTGTCTGATTTTTAGTTTAGTTGGAGACCAAGGCTGCTTTGATGGGCAATTTATACTAGAATGGAAACTGAAAATAAGCTCTGTATCCTTGTTCTGTTAGATTTTCTGGTAGCTTTTGGTACTATCTGTCAGCTTCACTGGGTAGTTGAAGAGTTTACACTGACAAACGATGGTACTCACAATTCAAGAATGTAGTAATCAGGGTTTATTTCTTCAGTCACACTCACAATAATTACCAAAAAGCAACACTGGAACAATTCCAAGTAAAGATAACTGCCTCTCAGCGTTTAATATAGCTGCCGGACAACCCCCACCCCTTCAAACTACATCCGCCATTCTTCCCCCAGGCTTCCACCCTGCAACTACTTACGCCTAAACAATCCCATCCTTACACCACCCCATACTGTGTCATTAATCTAACACCAAAAATGTTACAGTCACTATCTGTCCAGACAACCACCCTTTTCTCTATGTATAAACAGTTGTAGGCTGTCAAAACGGAACTGCCAAACAGCGGAGTGTCTTCCACGCAGCTCTGCGCAGCCATGACATAAATTGTAGTTTCTTTTCAGCTGGGAAGGACACTTCCTATTCCAACCAAGTTCTCAACAGTATAGATCGGCTAACACGGCGGAGCGTTGGGGTGGCATGCCACACAGCGACCGGTAAAGTGTCGGACTTGGGGATTAGGGTTGGTAAGAGGGCAAGAGATGAAATTGCATTCGTGTACTAGCCATAGAGAATTGTTGCCTTATTCCATTCTAATAATTATATGAAGTCAGTGGGAAAAGTTATTCCACAAAGTGCAGAGTCATTGGTTTGAGTATAAAGAAAACAAAACTCAGTTACAGGTAATCCTCCAAATATGACCAGGATGGTTCCCCCATCCCAGCTCTCCATAACACAATTGTGGAACAAATAAAATGTTAAAAAGTTATGTTTATGTAGTTACTTACCAAACACATCTAAATTATATTAAAGTAAGTAAAATACCTTTACAAACCCTAAGGCATGGCACAACTTTTGAGTTCCCCTAATATTTGGAAATTGAAAGTTGAAAAATTTGACACACTCTAAGCAGATTGCTAAGTGCAGCACAGGATTCCTCAGGGATGGTTATGCTGCTTTACCAGGTTGCACAGCACTGCAGGAAGTTGCAGAACGCTTCTGCAGCACTGTGCAAAATCCTTTTAAGGCAGCAAAATGAGGCAGTTTGTCCATGGATGCGATTCTAGAATTGTGCCATACAGCCAAGCAATAAAGTAACCAATTCCAGTGCTATGGAATGGTTCAAAGCTCTTCCAAAAAAGAGGAGATGAGGATATTAAGCCCTGGTGGAGTAGGAAAATGGTTTAAGGCCACAGAGAGCTATTGGGGAAAGGAAATGCTTGCAGGGACCTGATGTTGGGGTTGGGGAGATAGTTATGGCCAGTGGTGGGATTCAGCCAGTTTGCACAACTTCGGGAGAACCAGTTATTAACTTTCTAAGCAGTTTGGTGAACTGATTGTTGGAAGAAATAATTAGGGCAGAGAACCAGCTGTTAAATTACTTGGGTCACACCACTGGTTATGGCACTGCAACGACAATAACTTGGGTGCCTGGTAGCTTTCAAGGAGGAGTCTGCCATAACTTCAAATGACTGTTAAGCAATTGATTGTAAGTCAAGGACTATTCTACATAAAAAGAGGATGTAGAAATCTTTTAGCTTTGGAGCAAAACAAAGACAAAATTTAGTTAAAATAGAAATTGCTTTAACTAATCTAGGAATGGGTTTTCAGCCTTTTAAAGACATTATAACACTGTTTTCAAAATATTTTTGGATGTGGGTTTCTTACTTGTATAATCAAATTGCAATTATAACATTTATACAAATTAACTTAATAGGTTTTTATCCTAGACAGGCAAGGAACGCCTGGCTATTGTTGAGTATAATTTTTTCACACTCAGATTAGCATACTAAAATTCCTACATAGCCATTGTCTTTGAAATATATTTGCAACTACTGCTAGAAGAGAAGGCTACTCCTGTGGTAATAATGCTAGCACAATATTTGATCAGATACTGCTCATTTTCAAGGATTGGTTACTTCTTTCAAAGTCTGAAATGGTTTCATGTAAAAATACTCCAAATGGCTTTTCCCATCAAATGAGATGAGAAATTATATTATAAAATAAAGCTAAATTGGTGTGTGGGTGTGTGTGGGTGTGCGCGTGCGCATGCTAGAAATATAACAGAAATGTATTCCCTTGCTTTGAGTTGCTATTGCTCAGTGTCACCTCTGTCTTGTTTTTAATTGCTTTCCATTTTATTCTCTATTAGTCTTTTTTTTTACATTCTGTTACTACATGGAAACCTCGTGTCTCTTGACCAAAAATGGCATGAATGTTTTAATGCAAATAAATAATATTAGTATAATTCATTTCAGAATAATTTTGTATAGCCTGTAACTATGACCCTTAATATTTTATATGTTGAATGGTAAAAGACAATATTAATAATTAGAGAATGGGATAAAGGGTATACAAAGTCCAGAATAAATGTATTAAATTGTAGTTCTGCTTATATTCCTTAGTTTTTGTAATATTCAATAACAGAAACTTTGTTATTTTTTTAAAGTCTGTTAACTAGAATTATAGTAATAGATTCATTTAGAATAGTCACTTATTACTTTTGCCATGAGCTGTTTTCTGGATTTTAAAAAAACATCTGCCATTATAGCCATTATGTTTGACACAGTTGGAGTAAGGATGTTGGCAAAAGGGATGAGAATAATTATTCCCTCCCTCTGTACCACTTGCCCAATATTCAAGTACTTATCCCTTGGCCATTTTAAAATGCAGACCTGCAAAACATTGGAAGATTGAATTTTATTCATATTACTGGACCCTTTGGTCAATTTCTTGAAGTAGTGAATATATTTTAGAGCTGAATTATTATTGGTTTAGGTGAGGGCTCTTAGAAAAGAACACTATAGTGCACTAGCAGTTGGGTTCTGTTGTATTTTCTCATCTACTTACTAATTTTTAAGTCACTCAGTTAAGCCACTTATTGGGGAGACAGGTGGCATATAAATTTCATACATACATACATGCATGCATGCAAAAGAGCATTAATTTTCCTCGAATGTGGTTCAATGTTTGCTTTCAACGATTTAATGCTTACTGTGTGGATGAGATTATCAGAAGTTTGGGGAATAGTCCAAAAAAGCTATTTCTTAGCACTTGTTACATTGCAAAACAGCCATCCATGTCCCCCAACTAATCTAATCTGAAAAATTATGAGTGCCGTATTTATTAAAACTCTTAGCATGAATTTTCAGTATCAGTTATATGCTGAATGCATCTTGAAAATAGTGTTATGCCACATACACCATTTCCAGAAAAAAAGTGGCATAGGATGGGTAGAAATCCTAGTGACAGTCTGATTTCTCCCCCTCCCCTATATCCCCTGCCCACCCGCCCACTGCATAGGGCCTATTTTCTGCCCCTTGACAGTTTCTGCCTAACAAATGGTGTTTCTTTTTTACAGCATAATGATCCGGGACTTGTTGTGGTGATGGTAAACTTAGTGGTAATTTTAAATTTTCAGACTGAATTTACTTCTTTTTGTCATCAGAGCACCAAATATGTTAGGCTTACTTTTCTCTGTTGTAGCCTTCATCTTTTCTGCTTGGTCTTTTCGTTTCCCTTTTTTTCCTTTCCATTTCTTCATGCACTCTTTTGTGTCTGATCCTTGTTCATTAAGGGTTTAATGCTCAAAAGGGATGTCTGTGTTAGAACTGCCAAAAATTTGTGGAGATTCACTTCAAATACCAAATCTCTAATACTGTCCAAACTTGATCTCCCCACACCTTTCCCAAGCACATACTGATTGTTAGTATTTACTATGACAATTCAGTAGATAATTGAAATTGAAAACATTGACTGCATTAGGAAGCAAACGTACTAATGTATTCTTCATATTATAAAGGAGTCTGTCATGTTCATTTGGACAGAACAAATGTCACTCCTGTAGATAAGTAAAAATTAAAAGAAAAATATATAATTTAAAATACAGTATTATGAATGTGGTTCTTTTGCTCAAAACTGCAGTCATCGTTTTGTATACAATTGGGCATAAATCCCCTTCGTCCCCTACCCTTCTTACTGAAAATGTGTATATCTCTCTATCTCTATCTCTCTCTCTATATATATATATCTAAATAAAAATTGTACTTAAAAATGGTTTTTCACAGATGGCTAGTGTTTACAAATTTGATCACCCAACCCAGGTTTCTAAATTTGAGATACAGCAGAAATTTCTCTCTTGAAGAGTTGTTCAACCTGGAAAATGTTGAAATGTATTCCCAAATTAAATTTACATTGAGGATTGGTTTGCTTCTATTTTAATGGCACATCAAGGGCAAAACTTTATTTAAACCTCATGTTAAATATTGTGAGGACTTACAGTTCCTGTGTTAAAATTAAGAAACCGAAACAAAGCTAATAAGTCCTCTGACAGTAGTGAGACATGAACTCGGATTTCCCAAGTACAGTCTTGTCAGCTGGGCTACTCTTAACTGTCAAAAAATTAACTTATCAATTTTTTAAAGAAATGCAAATACTGAAGTATTCAAAAATATTATCTGTTATGCCACATGAAGTCCAGTTTCCTTATTTCAGCACGATTCAAGCTTGGACATCTTTTGACCAAGGGTATAATCTGTGTTTTTGAATGAAAGGAATATTGTTAACACCAATCCCCCCCAAGTTTGATAATGAGGGAAGTAAACATTTTGTTTTTTCACTCAAGGTATGCACCAGATAAGGTAAGTAATTCCTTTTTACCAGTGCCCTTACATCACAACTCACAGCGCATGTTGTGATGTAAAAATAAACACCCCAAAGGCTGTGATAGTCAAAGTGCTCGTCTGCCCCATTTCGCTTTGTTTGGCTGGTTATGAGTGAATTAAAATACATATGGAATCTTCAGCATAGTTTGATTAGTTCAAAGTCAGTTTTCTTCGCAACTAGTCCTTTTCACAGCTTATAAGGAAAGGATATGGCAGAATCCAAAGAGCCCATTTTTAACACCAAGGTTAATCTTCCAAAACTCTGAAATAATTGCATGCTAAATGGGAGTTCGTGGACATTGGTAATCTGTGTCCTATGGTCTGAGATAATGCATCTTTCCCATTCCTCAAATTTTTTGATCTTCTAATGTAAAGATCATTAAATTTAGTATTAACTTGATGAAATATTTGGGCCAAAACTAGAGGCAACAAAGAGAAAACAAGGCTAGGTCTGGCGATCAAGATATATAGATTCATGATTGTAAGCTGTGAGAATGGCTTGTGTTTGGTTCTCTGTAGCTTTCTGGTCTCTGCACTCCAAAGGCAAGATCTCTAACCAACCCCAAACCAATGTGTACAAAGCGACTTACCAGAGGATAATCATTCTGTCCTATTCACTCAACTGATAGATTTGATTCCCTTACAGGTAGAACGGATCCCATCCCTATCGTTGTCAAATATGATGTCATGGGCATGGGTCGGATGGAAATGGAGGTAAGTAGCTCCTGCAACATATACTTTGTATCAGGCAAGATAAAGATCTGTCCATATGTTTTAAAATTATGAAACATTGCATCCATCCAACCCCAAGAATTATGAGTGTTATAATCGAATGCACATAGGGGGCATCATTGGGGAATGATCTTTTGGTCAAGGAAATAAATATGCTTCAATTAGTGTGTGTTTTTTGCCAAAACAAGTTTGCTCAGCTCATTACTATCAAGACACACTCAGAAATAATATATGTAACTTAATGCCTGAAGAATGCAGCAGGTTTTATTAATTAGATACACTGGAACAGTACTTTCTGTTTTTCAGATATGGAACCAGATATCCTACCATAAGGTCAGAAAAGAGTTCTCCTGATTCCCACACAAAGAATCTCTGTCTTTAGCTAACCGTCAGAGATTTGGCACTGTCTGTAGTAGATACACATTTTAAATAATCTACTAAATTACTTGTAACATAAATCATCTGAAAATTGAAGCTCCTATATCCATAGTTAATGGTAGAGCTTTTTAAATAGACTACAAAACATTTGGAAGAACGTTTCATGAAGGAGATGGAGAATCTCTGAACTACAGCTCAAAAGATTGTGTTCTCTGTAAAGGTTGATATCACCTTGCAAAGACGACTTCATGCTATCTCAATGCAGGTAGTCTTTGACTTACAACAGTTTGTTTAGTGACTATGCAAAGTTACAATAGCAGTTAAAAACTGACTTGTGAACATTTTTCACACTTACCACCATTGCAGAATCCTCATGATCATGTGATGAAAATTCAGATGCTTAGAGCTAGTTCATATTTATGATGGTTGCAGAGTCTGGGGGTCATTTGATCAATTTTGGGACCTGCTGACGAGCAAAGTCAATGGAAAAGCCAGATTCATTTAACAATGGTGTAATTAACTTAATAACAATGATTCACTTAACAGCTGCAACAAGAAAGATTGTAAAATGGGACTACACTCACTTAATATAAATTTTGGACTCAATTCTGGTTGTGAGTTGACGGCTACCTGCATGTTTGTATATGTGCAGGAAGCACCCCCAAAAACTCATAATGAGCTAGATAGCTGTTGAAATGACTACAGAAGGTCTTTGAAAGGCCATGGAACTTTGACCCTTCAACTCCTCTCTGAATAATTTGTACGGCCCTATTTTTTAAAATACAGAGAAATGATTAAGGAGGATACAAGAAGTTTATCAAATTACAGTTTGTTCATAGAAGGCAAGGTTGTTTCTTAAAACATAAAATGATTGAGGTTGTTGGTAAACTTTGAAAAAGGTTGGTCAGAATTCAGTGGTGATGGTGGTTTTGCAATCTACTCCTACCTGTGCTTTCTGTTGTTGCACAGGCCCTGAAAATATATTTCAACATGAGAGAAAGGATTTTTTTTTTCATCTAGTCATAAGAAAGAAAAATTAGACTATAGTTTTAATTGGCATGTACTTTGCACAATTTTTCTTTGGGGCGGGGAAGTAGATTTCTACTACAAAAAGGTCAGTCCTTTTTGGGGATTCCAATATAGATCAGATTTTCTTGAAATAAAATGTCTCCTCTAGAGATTTTCAGCATGAGATTAGTACATTGCACTTTTTTATTTAGCTTGCAGACGAAGTAGACTGTTTGAGATAATAAGATTGTTACTATATTAATATTTCCTGCTCACTGAATTTTAATGCCCAATGAGTATGACTACTTGATTTGTGTCTGCTTTGATAGCTTGATTATGCTGAAGATGCCACAGAAAGGAGGCGGGTCTTGGAAGTGGAGAAGGAAGATACTGAAGAACTCAGGCAAAAATATAAGGTACTTTCTGCTGAACTAGTTAAAGAATCATGGAGAATTTTCTGTTGCATGGTAGTATATCCTTGTCTAAAACATTTCAGTATAGAATAATTTAATATTTGTAAGATACAGACTTTATAACCTAGGGATGCCTAAGAAAGATTCTGTGATATGATTAGATACCTGTAACACCACCATCTAATGTAGAAATAGGCAAATTTGCAACATGGGATGTACCATTTAAATTTTGTTTGGTTGATAACATTGTGACATTATCAGAAGGATGGATATAATTTCTTGAAGGGGGTTGCCGTAGTTTTTCAGCTTTATGTATGTTAAGGTCTAATAGAAATCATTTACACATTTTATCATTGATGTCTTCCTTCCCAAATAGTTTTAAATTGTATCTTTGGTAGTCTGATGCCAGATTTTGGAAACATGATTTCTGGGGGGAAATTACGTTCTTTTATGTAGTAAGCAAAAAAGAAAGAAATCAAATTATCCTTTGTTTTTATACATCTTCTTTTGGGACATTTTTTGTACTCTCTAGCAAATCTCAAGTGACATTCCTTTGAATCTTCTAAGAAGCATTTTATCTAGTTACTTTCTTCTCCATCTTCATCTGAACAAGTCTCATTGCTAATAAAAATCTACTGTATTTTCCTTTTTCCAAATGCTTACTTTGTTGATGACCTATTGTAGGTTGTAAGTACTCAGAACTAGTATCAAATAATTTTAAGTGTTTAATGTTTGTTATCCGAGCAATGAGTTAAATAGACTGGCAACTGGGAATTACACTTAATATTTTTGTGTAAATAGTAATCTTTAGTGGGTGAGATCAATGAAGTAAAGTGAGAGATCAAACCATACTGTTCTATAGGCCCAGTACTAGGAGGCTAAATGATGTAATGAAAGCTTTCCATTGACATTTTTGTTTGATGCTAATTTCTTCTGAGAGTTTAAGGCTTATTCCTTTTGCTATTGCAGGATTACGTGGACAAAGAAAAGGCAATTGCCAAGGCTCTTGAAGACCTTCGAGCCAATTTTTACTGTGAGCTATGTGATAAGCAGTATCAGAAACACCAGGAGTTTGACAACCACATAAACTCTTATGACCATGCTCACAAACAGGTAAAAAGCAGATTTTTTTCCCTTACATTGTGCTGTGTGAATCTCAGTTTCTGACACTGTGATAACTTCCTTCAATCTGCTTAAGGTTTGTCTTCTTCCTTTAATACTCCCACTTCTAGCAACTACATCTTGATGTTTCTTGATTTTATAAGATTCCTTTTATACCTTAACCAAAATGTCAAGGGAAGCTCAGCAAGTCAAAGCAGCATCTGTTTAGTTTTTTTCTTTACAAGGATGTTCTTTTGTTGACTAGGAAATCGAAATTGGGTTCCTGACTTTTGTTTTTGGATGTTTTTTCTGAGTTACCCCAGAGGATAGAGAGCTAGAACCTCAAATGCTAATTACTTGTAGCCTGATGTTTAGGGATAATTTCAGAGCAGGTTAGAATTGGTGAGGTAGTTTATGCTTTGGTCCCAATCTGAAATATGCACTGGGATTACCCATAAAAAAATCCAAAAGTTGCAGTTGGTGCCAGCAAAATTTAAGAATGTAAAGTCTGTTCTGATTGCATTATTTTCTTTTTACAATATTTTTTTTTATTTTTATATTTAAAAAAAAATCTCTTTAGGTGAACAATGTGATTCCAGGTTTTTACATTTCAATACAAACATGACCATGATTACATATTCAATTTTTCTTTAAATATTCTCATGCATTGTTATATTCATTACACTCATTTTATCCAATTTCATTTCATATTGTAGCTTATTATATTTTTCTTTAAATATTCTCATGCCTTATTTTACAATATTATCTAAATTCTTATTCAATTTCTATACTCATTACATACATTTTCTTATATCTGTCATATTTGCAAATTTTATCACATACTATTATTCCATTCATTGTTCATTAAAGTTCATCCTAATTCTTATTATCCTAAAGTTACCCCTTTCATTGTCAATTCAAACTTGCCACCTCTTTACCTTATACATTTTTCCCATTTTACTCCCTTTAATTCATTATAAAAGTTTATAATATAGTCATTTTTTAATTACCACATTCTACATTAGTGACAATGATATCTTAACTATTGTATAGCATATACGTGTGTATGTGTTTGTGTGTGTGCATATACACACACGCACACACACACACACATATAAGATTCTACATGGTATTCCCTTTTCTCTATTACATTCTAAATTATATATTTATTCCAAAGACATTTACATGACAAATTTATTTTCCCATTTTAATCCATTCAAATAATAATAATCTGATAATAGTCTTTCCATTTCAATATTCATCACATTAAATATTAATATTCTTATAATAAATTCATATTTCCATTTCTAATTCCGTTAAATTTATATCTCATTTAACAATAATTCTTAATAAAATGTCAATTCCAGTCTTTTCCATTTTTATATCTATATCTTTAAATACCACAATACTTTTCCATGCAGAATCCCTTTTCTTAATAATCTACCCATCGTGTCTCACCCTGCTGACTATATAATTTCTTGTCATTTTAGCTTGCTTTCTATTTTCTATCATTTTTGGTCTTCTCTTAATTTCCCCTTTTTTCCCTGTTATTTCCTTCAGTTTCTTACTCCAATTATTTATTTTATCCCCCTCTTTTGATCTTTCCTCTGTAATTCCCTCTTCTGTTGTTTCCTCTTCTTTTGTTTAACCTTCCAAACAATTCCCTCTTTGTTTATCACATCAGATCTTAATTTTTTAATTTTAACTCCTTTTTTATCCTGTTTTAATGTTCATTGTTCCACTTGTTATTTAAAGCTGATTTCTTCTTTGCTTAACGCCTCTCCCTCTGGCTCTCTTCGTTCTTCTTTCTTCTTTGATTTGTGTCGCCCTTTCTAATTTTTCTAGTATAGTACTTCACATTTCTGAGCAGGGAGAGGGGGAGAGAAGGGGGGGCGCTCTCTGATTCTTTTCCTTACAGTAAGTTATTTCCTATATCACTCCTGTTGTAGTACCTTGCTGGTTTGATATATAAATCTTAGTAGCGGAAATGTGGTCTTTTGCAACTTCAGTCTGATTTTTTTTTGTAAACACTTTTACAAGCTTGCAGTTCTTGCAAGAAAGCAAGGTTGTTTTCAGGCAAGAATACAATGTTGTATTTCAGCAGGTCAGGATCACAGAATCAGGTTCTTTTTTTTTTTTTTGAAAACAGTTTTATTAATTTTAACAACAAACAAAAAAACATAAAACATAAAAACATCATCCTTTCCTTCATGAGTTTACAGACAGTGTGTCGGTTGGTTTACCACTTTTTTTTGTGCATCCATTTCATAGTCTCCATTGTAGTTATATTACATAATAGCTCATATTATCAATCAACAATTATATAGCCTGAGAATCATGTTCTTAAGGTATTTCCAATGGAAAAGTATTTATTGTTGTTCTTTTCTTGGCTCTCAGGTAGGTAAATTGTCTACTTTTTACTTAGAGGGAATGTTTGATAGGGGCTTCCTTTGCTGAACTTTCCTACTAGTTTCCTTTTAATTCTCTTTTTACTGGCTTCTCAGAACTTTCAGTTTTCTCACAGATTCATATCTGTTATGGATTCATTAGTTTTTCTTCAACTATTTTTTGCTTTGCTTTGTTTTCCTTTACAAAAAATGTATACTAGTTAATTTCTACAGGAGGTCTGCTTCCTGACCTCTGTTTACCTCAGTCTCTTTTGTACTACCATAAGTTCCAAGGCTGGAAAAATCGAGAGAAAACACTGGTTTTTGTTCTTGAGAGCTGAACAGTTGAGCAACATGAAAACATTTCCCTGATCTTATTGTGGCAATAGATTTGGTTTTTTTGGATTTTACAATTCTTTATCTGTGTGTGTTAGAAAGTAGGAATATTTAGTGAAAATCACAATGCTTATCAGAAGAATGTCTATATACATTTGCATTTAAAACACTGGCATTTCTAATATGATCTATTTTCAATTGTTTTAAAAATGCCCTTAATTTTGCCCATGTGCCTCTTTCTGGAATATATTCAGAATCCACTGAGGTACATCATGTAGAAGAAGTAAATGAAACACAATAAAACTTAGAAAGAGTTCCCTTCCAACACAGATCTAATGTATTCTGAGTTCATCATATTTGTGCATATTTTAGCCTTCTGAAGAGCCACAAAACCCTGACTCTTCCTCCAAACATTAGGCTAGGATTTTGGTGGGGGCGATCTGCAAAGATGTTTAATTTGATGCTCAGGGGAAGATACATTTTTAAATTAGATTTTATGGATAAGGTGATTGGGAATCATTGTATGAGATACACAGCTTATATCCTATAAGTTCTATAAATTAAATATGACTTTTGTACTCTGAAACATTGAAGGATATATCATATATTCACCTTCAAATATCATTTTAAGTTTGACTTTTAATCTCATTCCCTACAAAACCAAGTTATTTGAATGTACTCTTTCTTGAGGACATGCCTCTTTCCCCATTTCTAGAACAAAAGAATTCAGGAAATATATTTTAGGGACTTAATAGTAAGTTAATTCCTGTTTCTTCCCTTGCTTTTCCAAAATGAAGTATAGGTTTTTAAAGAAAATTCAAAATTCTATTATTTCCATAGAACTTCCATTTTTTTCAATATCAGAAAATCCCACAGGCAAAATGTGTTTCTTTTTGCTAGTTAGAATGCCCTCAACCATCACTACTCATCAATTTAGTAGACTGGAGGTTGTGGGGATGCTCCTGCATTTTTGGCCCAAAAGAGGACTAATGTAAATGTATTATACCTCAAAATAGCTTAGTATATTTATTGTGCATATTATATTGCACATTCTTTCCATAAGATAGGGGGGGAAGGCTAAATACCCCACCATTCCAGTGATCTCACAATGTACATAAAAGTGATTCATTTGTAATTTAAATATTTGTAAACAGTTGGGGGAAAACTAATGCCATGTCAACACATCTAAAATCGTAATATATTACTTGAATTTTCTAGCATGATGTGTTCGTGACATTATTTTTAAGTGGTAGGTGAGTGGAGTTCTTCGTGAGATGGATAATTAGAAAGAGGGAGAACTTCTTTACCTGTAATTTCCTAGATTCTTGCCGGAGTTGGAAAGGAGAAGTTGCCAGAACAGTTGTGCACATAATATAGCCAAGGGTTGTAAGATAGGGCTTCAAAAAATAAAAAAAATAAAATCAAAAAAATATATCCTATCCTCAATAAGTGATCGCAATTTGTTTCTTGATTCAGAAGCAAAATGGTTACTAAGTGAACATGAAAGAATGGAGGGAGAAAGAGAGAGAGAAAAATGCTACAAAGATCACTGGTTGTTCTTATTTAGCTAAAATTCTCTTGAGCAGCAAACATTCACTCTGGCATGCATTGTTATCAGATGCACAACATTTGTCTATAAGTGCATGCATTCGTCAAAAAATGATGTTTTGGAAAAATGAAAAATGAAGAAATACTGCAAGACGAAGAGATAATTAAGAAAATACTAGGTTGTGCAGAAATGGATAGACTTACATTTAAAATTAAACAGAAAGAAGACATACAATATTATCAAACATAGAACTTATTTTACCAGTGGTTGGAAAAAAGGGGTGGAGAGTAAGAATGGAATTGGTATAGCTAATCAAATTAAATACCCCGACAACACAATGCTTATTAAGCACTAAGAATTGTAATTAATAGAAAATTAATACATTTATTTTAAAAATGATGTTTTAATCATTAGCCTCGTATTTGCTAATGGTCATTAAGTGTGGTAGCTGCTAACAAGCTGTATTGTCTATATCTCTTAACTGTTGGGTAATGATGGTTGTTTTCAACTGAAATATGATACCCTTGTCCTATAGCTATCACACATAACTATGTAACAGATTTCACTGCTATACAACAATTCTCTTCATACTTACAGCTACTTGGAATTTTGATTCATATTAGTCAATGAAAACAAAATGCATAATTGAAGATATGTACATAGATAAAAGAGTACCCTCTTATTTTGGAATGATTTCACATTCTTTTTTAAAAATGTCAATCTTCTATGAGTATAAAATA